ATTTTTGAAAATAATTATACTTTCTAGTTTATATGCATTTACCAAAAGTCTAGTTTATATGCATTCGGTGAGTTGTTGAACAAATATTCGTTCATTTGCATCAAGCTTCTAGGGGCTTGTTCAATACTTTTGTTAATTCGAATTGAAGGGTGATATGAAATCAGTCTATTTCCAACATCATATCCATGGTTAGCTCATTCAGTTCCAATTTAACGTGAGATAAAAATATATAATATTCTAGAACATAATCGCACTACAACAAAAGTATTTACGACATACATCGATGACACGTCGTAAAAAGTTACAGTTCACGGCATAATGGCACGTTGTAAAAGTTACAATTTGTGCATAAATTCTTGGCAAGATGTAAAAAATTATGAAGATTAATAAACGTTTTTTCTTTGTTTTTTCATGAGTAATGCGTTTTTACCAGGGTTTTTCTTTTCTTTTCCTTTTCCTTCTTTAGTTTTTATTCCCGCAGGTTCTTCTATTTTCCTTTTCCTTTTCTTTCTTTTTCTTTTTATTTTTCTTTTCTCTTCTCTTTTCTTTTCTTTTCCTTTCTTTCTTTTCTTTCCCAGAACCCGTTTTCTTCCTTCTTACTGTTATTCTGTTGAACTCCTGCTCTGACTACTCGAGTGGGATATAAAACAGTTACTGATGTTGTCTGTGAACTTGAGGGTTAATAGACAAATATTGACATTTTATAGTGTGAACTAGGTCAAGACCTCCCGAAAAGGAACAACAAATAAATTAAGAAGACGCCACACTCAATTAAGATTAATTTTTTTGCAATGAGCTTAAAATCATCTTTGTCGACCTCAAGACATGTTGAGTCAACGGTAAAATCTCCTTATGAACAATGATGAGATTCAATGTTGAAAAATACTTCAAAGCACGTAGAATCTAGAAATATTTGTAAACTTGGGAAATCAAGAATTCCTGGATTCACAAAAATATTATTTAGATAGAAAAATCATTAATTTGGCAAATACGATTTTGAATATGAATTGAAGAAAAAAAAATTGTATTTATAATATTTTAATAAAAAATCTAAAGAACAATAAATCATTATCATTATTTAAAGATGAATAATGATGTACATTAACACTGATGACCATAGTGACAGTGTGGAGTGATGTAGCAATAGTCTCACGACCTTTTTGTCATAGACTGTTCCTCGTCATTTCAAAGAAACAGTGGAAAATGAATAGATGATATTTGAAAAATCTCTATTTATAGGGAAAAAAAATAAAAAAAGAATTTAAAATTCGATCAAAATTCAATTGGTGTGATACACACCTTCAATCACACTGTAAAAAGCAGCCACTTATCATGTCGTTCCTATTTACATTATAATCGCATCCCCTTGTTCCTTATAAGGTCGACTTATCTAAATTATTGTTGGAAAAAAATAGGTTTTTATTCGTTGGTTTAACCAACTTTTGACTAATTATTTTGGTGCGTCCCGTTAGTTAGACAAAAAAAATTTTTGGCCGAATGTGTTCTACTTCATAAGTAGATTACTGTAATGTATTTATTTTCTCAAAACCAATTTAGGGTGAATGAGAAATTAAAACCAAAAGATGATAACTTGAAATTGAAATAAATTGGTGGAAAATTACAAAATGTCAATCCCACGTAGAAAAACTAGAAAAATATAAATAACTTTATATTGCTCAAATTTGAGACTTAGGTTTGGGCACCAAGGAGTACCAATAATCTTTGAAGCGGAGAGAACATACATGCTAATAGGTTGAGTCAAAACCCACACGCGCGCTGCCGTCCAACCGATCGACTCGGCATGGCACGAGTCACGGGCTTGGTTGATATATATTTTTTGATAAAATAATATTTGAATTATATTATTATTTAAAACAATAATATATTTATTTATATTATTTATTTTCCCGAATTTTCTGTGCGTGACACATAGTTTCTTCTAGAAGATAGCGGTTGACAGCTAAACTTCTGTCCAAACGGGGCGGTTGTTGTGTCTTTTAGATACAAGTTTTCAACTTGTATATAAAGGCCCCCAAACCCCGATTTTTATTCATTCCAAAATCAATTTTGAAATAAATTGGGAATAAAATTGGTGAAAAATTAGAAAATGTCAATCCCACGTAGAAAAATAGAAACCACTTTATCTTGCTCAAATTTGAGACTTGGGTTTGGGACCCAAGGAGTACCAATAATCTTTGAAGCGGAGAGAACGTACATGCTAATAGGTTGAGCCAAAGCCCACACACTCGTCGTCGTCGACGATCGACTTGGCATGGCACAAGTCACGGGCTCTGTTGTATATATTTTTTGATAAAATAATATTTGAATTATATTATTATTTAAAACAATAATATATTTATTTATATTATTTATTTTTCCCGAATTTTCTGTGCGTGACACATAGTTTCTTCTAGAAGATAGCGGTTGACAGTTAAACTTCTGTCCAAACGGGGCGGGGCGGCTGTTGTGTCTTTTAGATACAAGTTTTCAACTTGTATATAAATGTCCCCAATTCCTGATTTGTATTCATTCCAAAATTAATTCTGATTTTATTTTTCTTCCAAATTATATTCATTCATCCCTACGTTATTTCATATTTTGCAATTCGGTCTCAAAAATTATTTTCGAGCTTTTTAGTCTACCAATTTTAGAGATATCAAAACGTGAGTAGATTCGTTTTGTAATTTGGAGTGCTAATATTACAAGTCGAAGTTGTTGTATCTTGGGAGACGAGTACCGAAATAACGTCAACACTAGTGCAGGGCATTATTATCTTAAGGAGAATGAGTCGAACTCTTACATCGACCATTAAAATTTTATATCGTTCATTTTTGCAAGTAGCAAATCTACCCAAGTTATTGCACGGTAATATCATTATTTGCCAGCAATTATTTCAATCCTTCCAAATTCCACAAAGCCACTAGGCATAGAAAGACTTTTGTAGTCGAATTTTTGCAGCCTATCAAGTCAGCTCAACTGGTTCGCAAGCTGACCTGTGCAAGCTAGCGAGCAGCTTGTACCTAAATTTCAGTTTTGATTCGATCAACGACTCATCTAGAAGGAAAATCAAGCTCGTGAGCCAACGAGCAACTCGTGACCATTGACACCCCTATCTTTGACTTGATATGTTGTTGTGAGATCACGGTTTGGGTATTTACTAAATATTCTAGTAACACAAAATCACTGCTATATGACAATTTTGAAAGCATAGTTATGGAACCGAGCCAAACAAAATCGATTGTCCGGTTACATAATTTCTGTTGGATTTCTCGGTTCTATTGCCCAATTGATCTCGTTCAATTCGATTTGATTATCTTCGAAACTGGACCACATCCACCCTAATCGTGAGAAATAAGAAATAGAAGCAGTCTTTAAAGAAACACAAGAATTCCAGATTTAGAAAGGTCATTAAATTGGACAACAATAAATGATGCAAATCATGTTACACACTAGGTGATGCAAAATCATGTTCCACATCAATTCATGCAAATGGTCTAGGTCCCCAGCACGGAAGCACCATTATACAAAGGAAAAAAAGAAAAATAGTGAATGAAATTATAAAATGAATAAATGATTTCCAACCAACTAACTAATGGATAGTTAGTTGGAAATGATAATTAGGGTTGCCTGGCATAGCATGTTTTACTTGTGTTCTGCATAATCCTCGGAATCAAAGTAGAAAATTTTCAATGAGATGGTCATATATACAGATATGGTAAGATTGTTCATTTAAATCACAAAATTTCGATTCTTGAACCATTCAAAATACAACACTTCGACATTGCACGCCCACTTTGTTTCTCTCTCTTACTACCTAGGATGTCGAGGTGTCACATTCTTTAAAGATAACTTTTATATAAAAAAGACTTTTTAAGTAATTCTTAAAATTGTGTCAGAATAAGTAATTTGCTCATTATTAGTTATTTATTTGATTAATAAAAAAAATATTTATTTGAAAACATATTGTAATCTCCCGCTTCAATATTTGACATTAAGTTCATGTTTGGGTATATT